GATCATAATCTCTATTAATTATTCTTTTGAAGTTTTCTTATTGCTAGTACTGTGATTGTACCAAATAATTAGCTTTTAAAGATACAGTGAATCTCTTATTGGCCAATGAAATAACTAATTAAAATCAGTATAAATTTAGTTCTGTGAAAAAATATGTTTTTTTCTCCTGTCACATTACTTTCTGAAGTCATAAAATTTGAATAGGTAGAAAGGCGACAGGAAAAAAAAAGCAACACGACTTTGATAAACTTTTTTTTCTACAATGAAAATAAAATTTTCTCTTTTAAAAATGTTTTGGAAAATCACCTTTCTTAATTAAAATAGAGAAGAGGATTAATTGACCTTGTTTATAGACAAGTTATCTGTTAGTCTTTATTGGTTATTAAAGAAATATTTCATACTATTTCTTATGATAGATTTCGTGAACAATCATACAATGTGAGAATAAAAACTAGACCATATAAGTGACTATCAGACGAATTTAGTTATCAAGTGATGTATATATTTAATTTATTTGTCTTACTATCTTATTCAATGTTTGACAGAATTAAAACTTTTTAATATCTTGAGTAGCATAAAAAGAAAAATAGATTGAATGTCAAATCTGAGGATAGCCAAATCAAGATATTAGTCAAAAATATTGTTGTCATTGATGTTACTCTCAGAATGAACTTGAGAAGCTTTTGTGAACTTTAAGTTAATGAAAAAGATGGCAATGACTACGATAAATTTTTACTGAGGAAAGTTATTATAAAAATAAAGAAGAAAAAAATCGGATTTCTGATAATGTTTCTGTATGATTTATAAATTTATCAGGGTTGGTTAAAGGTTTTTGCTATTTGAAATGAAGAGATATGCTGTAGAGAAATTCATGCATCTGAATTTAATGCCTATTTTGTCGAATTCTACTTCTCCTGCCCATAGATTGTAATGCAACTATTGTGATTTTTGAGCACTTGTTTCTCTTTTATTTATTTATATATTTGAACACATAGATATTGGTACAAGGGAACACCAAATACATATGCGCCACATAAATCATTCGATTTGTGTGAGGGCTGGGATACTGCCCGGGTGCCCAAACTGGAGCAGGTGGATTTCTTAGGGAGCCACACCACGAACCTTTGATCTAAAGGTCTAATCCACAAGGCAGTGGAGCAACGTCAGGAGATGCATTCTCATGGCAGACGGTGACCAACGACTGAATCATACGACATTTGCTCCCTCAGGATACTGGAACCCATGTGCACCATTGGTTTGTAATCAGAGTTTTCCAACTCCTCTAGGTGGACTCTCCGTGTCCATCAACCCGGTTAAAGCGCCGTAGTTCGCTTTCCGTCCTCTCAGTGTCGTAAATAACACCCCCTCCGCGAGAAGGCAGTGAGTAGAACTTCCCTGGCAGAGGCTATATGCGCGTGCCCATGTGAGAGCATTTCGGGAGGTAGAGCTGACTCTTACCACTCTCGGCCGTAAGCATTTGGGGGCTATCAAAACCGTCGTTACGTTGTAACTAGACTTAAATTAAAGAGGGGAACTATACTAGTTAATGGAATTTATATGATCCAATTCACTACCAGAAACACTAGTTATCGAAAAGTCTTTTTTGAAAAAAATAAGTGAGTATCAGCTCTTTTAGACTTATTGTACTACAATCACATTAAATGATTTTCTGAACTAATACTTTCTTTTACTTATACGTTATGTACTGTAACATCGTCGAAATTGTAAAGCATCCTATTTATTCTTACATCATGCTTAAGTGAGGTTTACTCCATGACCTTGAAACGGTGTTATGAAACCTGGTTAATATCCCTTTTGTATTATAATTCAAAAATCAAATGGAATTATTGATTTGGTGAAATAAGAGTAAATTAACTTTTGTTTTGAATTTTATTCAAGTCCAATTATTAATGTTAATTAAAATTAGTAATTACTATCCCCATGTTATAGATTAAATTTTAAAGAATGTAACTAATATACCACTAATAGTAAATTGCTTAAATGAATGATATTAGATTTCCTAGTTTACGAAATTCAAGGCCATTTTTCATAAGATAATTAATCGATGTTTAGAATATGAATTATCCGAATAGTTCCAGTCCTGTGGTTTACGTGTAATTTGTTTGAATTATGTGTAAAGTTGTTGCTATTCTTTTATTGTTCAAATGTTAAAAATTAAGTTAATGGTTCATGTAAATTGATTCGATAATGTCTAACGAATTATATCGAATAGTTTGAGTTAATAAGGTATATAGTTGAACTTCACCTAGAAGCTAAAACTTGACTGATGATTATAGAATTTATGATCATCTAAAATATCTTATTTGTACGTTTTTATGTACACCTTATGTACATTTTTTTTAATTTCTTAACATTAGAATGAAAAAATAATCGAATGATTTTTTGTTAATCTGTACAATCACAGAATAAACTATTTAGTACAATGATTCAGATCATATTCTAATAAGAACTGGAATTTAAAATCTAATAAATTCCATATCAATTCACAGCGCAAAAATGTTATTAGTCTAATTATAGCTATTTCTGTATCATTAAGATCGTTTTTGAAAATTGTCAAGTTCTCATTGTTCAACTACTGATTCTCCTTTTCTTTTTAAAAGAAAATGAAAATCAGTTCAAATTAGATTATACTATTAAAACATAATTGACTTTCATTCTTAAAAAGATTACTTTCTAATTAATACTCATATCAGCTGGGAAATCATTGAAAATCATGATGGAATGTATTGAATATTTGTTTTGTCATCAATGTATGTATGTACACTTTGTATTCTTTTAAATTTCACCGTGAGGGTAGAAAAGTTTATAATCAATTCAAATGTTCAAACTATGCCAATTGATAGTTGATTCACTTGATCATATGTTTCTTTTTCTCTTTTACTAAACTGTTTATCGTACTTCCTACATTCACTCATCATATATCTCTTCTTCTCTCGACTAGCTCATAAAGTAATTAATTTCTAAACTAATAAATGAATTACTCATTTATCATTTCCTACTATTTTTTTCGGTTAAAATACAAAACCGAAAACCTTTCAATTGAATCTGTCTGAATACTGAGAAATGAAAGTTTGTTTAAATATAGCTCTTAATTTTACATAACAATATATATACGTACATCTTAGTTGCATAGATTATATTCTGATTTGATAAAATACTTACGTTTCATTTATTTTTCTGTTGAGAAAAACTGATGATAGTGAAGAAGAGATCGAATTGTATCATTAATAAAATCTTGCCTATTATAATTAGATGGTAAATTTGTTTTTTACATTTTTTTCAGTGTATTTTTAATGTGTTCTAATTATTTCTACAAACCATTCCATAAATGTAAATGTAAATGTATTCTTAGAATTCTTCCTTTTCCCACAAATAATCACCTACTATAGTACCATACAATTACGTTCATAAAAAATCTATTTGCCCTCAAACCATAACACTACCTAATTTATTTAACTGACGATCAACAGAAAATATTCATCAGTATAGGGTTGTGGAGATTATTAGTTTTTTGATTGAGATCACGAACTGATTGATGTTAGAGCACCATGGAAAACCTGGAAGCACTGGACGACCATTTCGTCCTCTTGTGGGATCCCATGATCCCGCTCGCGGAATTCGATCCCAGGGATTCGTAAGGGAATTCTTGGAGTTCTAGTGAAAAGCCGTGACCAGTGGAGCTAATCCGTGTCTGGTAGAGACAGGTATTTACTTCACTACAATGGAAGATGGTCGCGCAATTTCGTGGATTGGTTGAGGTTAGAGATTAACACCGTTGGATTCCGACTGAGTGGTCTAGAAGTTAAGCGTTCGCCCACACGACTGAAGGCCCTGAGTTCGACTCTCGCGAGCGGGATCGTGGATGCGCACTGCTGAGGAGCCGCACAATAGGACGAAACGGCCGTCTAATGATTCTTGGTTTTCAGTGGTGATCTAACATCAATCGGTTCATGATCTCAATCATAAAATATTCAGTTCCAGTTAAAAGTAACAATTTTACAAGTGAACATTATCATGAATTTCAGTTAATTTAGACTCTGACACTGTAAATTGAATGAAGAAAATATTAGGCATCAAATGAGTACATTTTTTCTACCTGATTTATTGTTATCAGATCAATGCGGTTAGAAATTAAAACAACAAGTGGTTGTTGATTTTGATCTTGATTATTACGCCGAAGAAGTCCAGACAAGTTAGCTGGACGAAACGTTGGAATTATTTAAATTTCAATCGCTGAGATTATTTCAAATATACTTTTTCACATATAATGAACAAGTGGTTGTGTTATATTCCACTGAGTTAACCACTTCATATATGTATGCGAACATGAATGCATAGAGAGTAGTGATCATGATTAGTTAGGGTGGTTGTGCATTTATCAAAATAAATAAAGGCAAATCACACGTAGCGAAAGCAGTGAACAAACATCGATTTTCTTCCATTACTTAATATAGTTCAAAAGCGGTCTAGGTCAAATACCTATGTATATTGAAGCTTTAGAGCTTTTACCCTACTCTATTGTTTAATCAGAAACAATTTTTATCTACATTAAATCTACCTTGGTAATATTGTTTTTATATCCAGAGTTGTCTGATTCACACTATTTTTCCCCATTATCTTCCGACTTGTCTAGTTCAACTTTTATTCTTCATACATGAAAATTTGTTAACTAGTCATTATCTCATCAGGTCATTGCGTTTCCATATAACCACTTAGATGGAGCAAACTTTATCCCTTAATAAATAATTTAGTAGTTATCGTGATAATTTGAAATCAAGTTAAATATCCCACCTTTTTTCTGTTGGTTTTCAGTCTGAAATACATGGTTCCCATTATTTAATTAATATTGTTTCCATGTTAGTGCTTAGCGAGTTTTCATTGATAATCTCTTATTTACCATTAATTTTATTTATTTAGATGTTTTTTTTTGTCTTTTCTATCATATATATATCAACATAAATTTCTATATTATAACACAGTCGAAATTCTCAATTTCAAAATGCTTCAGTTCTTTTATCCGGTATTGACGATTTATTTCGTAATTTTAAATATTGTTGGTAAGTTGTTAAATATTGTCATTATTCTTATGATTATTTTGTTTAATAATTTTTTTTAAAAATGAGAATCGTGAAATGTGCATTGAAATACCGATTGACGAGTTCGAATAGCACGAGATGCATCAGCTCACTTAGTATTGCAGATATCTAGATAGCTAAAAAGTTCCAACTAGCACAAAAATTAGGTTCACAGATTGCTGCTGGTTGCACTCAAATGAACGTCTCTAAAAAAGCTATCCTGGCTATGATAAGTAGTCCCTACTCATCCCAATTATTCATCTTTATTTAGATATTGCTACTGTATTATTATTATCATTACTACTATTACTATTGTCACCTGTACTTGAAATAATATCTTGAGACTATTTCTTCATCAAAAACTAACGTCAATTGTAATGTCAATCAAAATGAGAGTGTTTTAGTATTTCATCTATAACATCGAGTCATGATGTTTGATCTAAATCGAGAGAGTCACTAAAGCTTAAAATGTGGAACACTGGATTCTAATTTAGCTCTTAAATGCCCAGGGCCGAGAGTGGGGAGAGTCAACTCTCTCGCTCTCTTTCTCGAAATGCTCTCACATGGCCACGTTCATACAACTACTGCAATGGAAGTCCTACTCACTGCCTTCTCGCGGCGGGGGTGTTGTTTACGAAACTGAGGGGACGGAAAGCAAATTACGGCGCTTTAACCGGGTTGATGGACACGGAGAGTCCACCTAGAGGAGTTGGAAAACTCTGATTACAAACCAATGGTGCACATGGGTTCCAGTATCCTGAGGGAGCAAATGTCGTATGATTCAGTCGTTGGTCACCGTCTGCCATGAGAATGAATCTCTTGACGTTGCTCCACTGCCTTGTGGATTAGACCTTTAGATCAAAGGTTCGGGGTGTGGCTCCCTAAGAAATCCATCTGCTTCAGTTTGGGCACCCGGGCAGTACCCCAGCCTTTACACAAATCGAATGATTTATGTGGCGCATATCTATTTGGTGTCTCCTTATAACAATTGTCATGATTTTAAATAAAGAAATACCTAAATTTATCACGTCCACAGAAAAACTCGATGCCTCTGTTTCCAACCGAATGTTAAGTTGAGATTATGTAACGTTACCGTGAGTCTCAAAGGTAGGATGAAATTACTATCATAGCCATTAAAGATCTACCATCTATACCTAGTACCCTGTCTTAAGGTAAAAATAGCTAATCTATTGATTAGATAGTGAACCATCATAGTCTAAGGTGGTCAGAACGTGTATAATGTATACCCAACCACTGTCTATCTTGGTACATCATGTCTTCCGGTGTAAACGTGGACTGGGATAAAGCTAGGGTGTAAAATTAAAATGTAGTATCAGTCAATAAAGGCATTGGCTGTCGAACTGACTCTAGTTAGTAGGTGCCTACTTCCCGGTTAGGGTTTATGCGACACGCCGATCAATGATTGGAAAGGTCGGGCGACATTCTTAATATTTTGTCACAGTAGCACAGATGTATTCACTATTTGTTCATGGATTTACTCCTTGTTCTCGAATCATATTCTCAATACTTAATGTTTTCTACTACCAATGATACCGTTAGTACTTTTAGTACTCAGGAATTTGTCTTTATACAATAGAGCATATTTTTTTAAATCATTCTATGATTGACAGGCTAAATAACACCATGAGAACGTTCATCAGATTTACCATAACGTTACGAAATACCTATTTAAATATTATTGTTTTAATTAGTAGTAGTGTTGATTAAATTTATATTTATTATTCTTTTCTAGGGTTACTCATAATGGTGTAATATGTGAACAGAGATGGTTATTTCATGTGAACTGTTTAGATTGCTTAGATCGTACAAATTTAGTTCAATGTATGTTCGCTGTTGTCATGATTACAAATCAGGTAAATTAAATCATTATTTATCATTGGTGTCAGTTTTTGTACGGATTGAAAAGGTTAACATATCATGTGCACACTACTGACTAATTTTTAGAGACAATTTTGGAGCTATAGTGAGAATCCGTGAGCACTAGACTTTTACTATGTCGAATTTTACCCACCAAGTACATTGGAAGATGGTTACGCGATATTACGATTCGATTGAAGTCAATCATGTAGAAAACTGGATAGCGGCCCAGTTGTCTCGAAGTTAGCCGTTTCTGTACGAGGCAAAGGGTTTTGGGTTCCATCCCCGGTAGTAATAAACACAACACACGCAGTTTGGAGCGCAGTTTAAGGAGACCAAAAATAAAATTTCATGAGCTTGAATAGTTAGCAATGGTGTTTGGTGGAAATAAAAATATAACCATAGGTTAATTAATAATAGTGGGGACAGAAGAAATATTAATAAGTGAAGAGCGAATTCGATCTTGACCCTAGTTGGAGATGTATTAGAGGTTGTCATTTCATATCTTTCCACACTGTAGAATGATATTTCTACCTGAAAAGTAAACTGAGTTAATAGTGGTCTTGTCGACGTGGTAATGTAGCCACATAACCCAATGGACAAGTTGTTGAGCACGGTTACAAACGTCCTACTTTTGACTACCTCTTGATGTGTTAACTCCATAATTTAAATGCTTTATTTTCAGTAATGGTTATTTGGTGAACAAAGTAAAGTGTGCTGTTTTTATAGTCAACTTTTTCTGAATTCCTCGTTTCGTTATGAGTAAGCAGTATCGTTACAGTCGGTTGTACAACTTTTACGTCGTTTTTAGTCTTAACATACATCAGCTGTAACCTGCTTAATAAACAATAAAAAAATGGATTGATTTTTCAACTGATAACCAGTTTACAAAAATAGGTTTGATCATCACCATAGAGAACAAAGTTATTGATTGTTTGGTTAATTAACAATTTCATTTAAACCTATTCATAATAATCGTGGTTTTCAAATTGTTAAAGTAGATGCAAATAGTCGATTGCAAAATAATTTTTTTTTCACCAAGCTGATAATTTATAAAAAAGTCAACTTTCAACTAGATTTACATTTTTATTTTGATCAGGAACTATTTTGCTTAGTTTTAATTATGATTTCTTGTTTCATTTCAAAATAATGTTAATAATCTAAATATCACATTTTGTGTAAGTTTAACAAGCACATTAAACTAGATACACCAGGGAGCATTCAAGTAATGTATACTCTATGGAAAACAAATCGATAATCAAATAAAATAAAATGGGGCATAAAATATCATCACTAAATGGAAGAATTTTTAAAAAATATTATCATAAAGACGTTTTCACTACAAATCTGTCAATTATTCCTCTGTTAACCTGAGTATAGCTTTTTAACTGTATGTAGATGAAACAAAAGTTTGGTAGAATTTCTTTAGACTTTATCCTTAAATTATATCCATCAATATCTGTTTGTGTCTACTTCTGTTTATAATTTTGAATACTTCCATAACTACAACTTTTGATTGTAGTGAAAAACTATCGGAAATACATGTTTCAATCCAAATTATCAATAAAACTAAACTATATTGATGAACCTATTAGATTTAAGATAATACCTTCTAGATTTTTGTGCACACTTCAAAGTATAATGAAAGGATAACATGTTTATTATTAGGATCTCAGTAAAAATTATCTGTCTAGTTACTATGATAATGGAAATACTTAATTTTCATGTTCCTAACTCAATCAAAATTTACTATCCATAAGATTTATTTAAATTTTAAACAAAATTACCTTCACTAATTTTTACTTTTCTTTAACTACTTTATTGTTTCATCATTGTACATGTGAATATATTATTATTGCATTAGAAAAGATTCATTTCTTAACTAAATCAGTTTAAAACGAATTAGTATCAGAAGGGGTTTTGTGGAGATTGTAGTAATTTCAACAGTTGAGATCATGAGTCAATTGAAGCTAGACCACCATTGAAAACATAGAAGCACTGGGCGGCCGTTTCGTCCTATTGTGAGACTCCTCAGCAGTGCGCATCCACGACCCCGCCTCGCGGGATTCAAACCCAGAACCTATCAGTCTCGCTCCAGGCGCTTAACCCGCGAGGCGGGATCGTGAATGCGCACTGCTAAGGAGTCTCACAATAGGACGAAACGGCTGTCCAGTGCTTCCAGGCTTTCCATGGTTGTCTAGCTTCAATTGACTCATGATCTCAACTGTTGAAATTAAAATGAATTCTTTTATTCCTATTTTTCTTTTTTTGATCTGTTTGAAATATTACTTTTATAGGTTCACTTTCAGACTGTTTTTTTTCATATTTGTAATCATTAATATCCTCTTGTTTTCTTTCTCTATCTGTCTATTTGTTGATAGGTAGTTGTTTTTCACCATACATCAGCTTTATCTACACCTTTTTTGTTCAATTTTATTGAAAGGTTCCAATTTCAGTCAATATTAAACACTTTTCTGAATTCAGAAAAACTCATAACATTAAACTAGCCTAGGTCACACACAATTAAAATTAAAACGCAACTTCAATCATCATTTGATAAAATATCAATACAATAATTCATAGAAGGAGAGACACAAGAAACACTTTTTTTTAATTTGTCAGTAAAAAACGGACTTCATTTTAATGATGCTTTGTTGTTCAAGTTGGATGATTTAGTTGTAGGAAGTTTTAATTGTTGATCGTTTTTCGTACTTCAAATAAACGTTTGTTTTCTTGCATGAAGTGGGCACTAGTGGCGTTATTTTGAAAAATTACGGAAACACCTCAATCAAACTGTACAGCTCAGAAAACACAATACTATTAAGTGCTTCGATCTAAACTACGAATTGTATCTAGCATTTCAAAACTAAGAATAAAAAGTCAGTGGATAGTAAAACTGTCTTGGAATTAAGTAAATCATTGATCCACCGTTGATACAAAGTCACTAGAATGATCGACGGGACACTTCTAGAAGAACAGACTGACGGGCTCTCAGTTGTTCTCTAGTTATCTATTATTCAACAATTATATGAATGAGAGACTGACATTGAGTTTTCAGCCCATAGAGTCTTCAACTGACATGAAACTGAAGAAAGCAGTATGTTGATCTCAGCGATTATTAAGAATGATAGAACAAGATAAGTAGTGATACTGATCCAATCCACCCATTATATATATATATTCTTTACCCCTGAATTCCAAAGATGTAAAATTTAAGTTTTGACTCAAGTTAGCTTAGAAATAAAAAGTATTATGCTCCATTCATTTCAGAAACTCCCTTTTTTTCAAAAATAATGATTAATTTACAAAACACTTTATTGCTTTCCCAAGTTTCCATTAATAATTCCTACACGACATGTTTACATTCTCAATTAGTTTCACAGTAACTACATTTTTGCATTACATAAAAACCCATCATAAATAACGTAGAACCTGTCACAAATATGTTTCGACCCAAGTGACCTCAATTCGCGTCAACACAGTGAAAGAGGAAAAGTAAACAAGTCGAAATTATGTTAGTATCAATGACAATAAACAGAGGATGTAGTTCGAAGTCATTGAAATTCGATGAACCAATAATATGTATGAAGTAATGTTAATGCTTAAGATTTTTTTCAAAAGTCTAATCATAACTTATGTTTTTTTCGCAAATTGCAATTAGAAATTATCTGGACAGTGAATATAATACTACTAAAATAGCAGAGCTGTATCTTAGCAACAGATGTTTACATTGTCTCACTTTATTCTAATGATTGTATTCAACTGTTACCTTCTTTTCTGTTTTCATTATCACTTTTCAATTCCATAATTCTACTAAAATGATAGTTGAAAAAAATTGGTTTATTAGGCCCGGAGGAATGTTTACCCACTGAATTTCTACGCGCAGTTCAACATATGTGGGCAACAAATGGCGATGCTATCAGTCGAATTTATGCAGGGACGAGTGCAATGAAAGTAAGTTAAGTTTCGTATATGTTTGTGTTTTTGTGCATGTTTTCTCCTGTCTATTCGTTTTTTCGTTGTTATTTTGTTTAATAGATGTCTTTAGCAGATTAGTGTCATATGAGCACATTCTGTTTAACTTTCTCTCTACTATAACTTATATTAATTACAATGTACTCAAACTATATTAATAATCGAAGTAATACTAATGATAACAATCCTAGGAATTTTACACGATCATGTATTTGTAAATGCCCTTAAGATATTTGTCATTATATGACTTGAATACACTACGTTTAAATAGGAAATTCCCTAAAGATCATCATCTTGAAAAATAAATTATTCTTATTTATCTAATTATGCAAATATCTTTTTTGATTATTCTCTACTCAAATTATATAGTATACAATCTAATCTGGATATTAATTGAAATACACTGATAAACTTACTATATATCGTAAAGATAAAAATTTTGCAAGACTTTCATGAGTATGTGCCTGTATTCTGATAGTGAGCCGTTAAAAGTGTGTATTCGGGCAATTGTGTGAGTTGTAGCAGTGATATGACGGATAAAAACAGCCTACGTTTAGTGAATATCAGAGCTCTTTAAGTTAATCTCAGTTATATCTGACGTTCTCATGATATTAGACTAGCTTTAAAAGGTCAGGTCTGTAACGGGTCAGTGAGAGCTATTTTGCTATATGCTTTTGAAATCTGGTCTGTTGGAATTGAGGATGTTTAACTATTCTTTGCGTTCTTTCATTGTTGTCTCAGAAAGACTGCTGATATTCAGTACCAATACCATGTTAGTAATGCTGAAACTTATCTCAATTTTAATCTTAATTATAAGTTCGATTCTTATTAATGATAAGACGGAAATATTGATTTTATTGGCTACCATCAGCATTAGAGAAAATCGTTTATGATAAAAATATTTGGCTGTTAAATTAAGTTTTGTCATCTCATTATATACAAATGTTCAAAAAATACTTACAAGATAACTTGTTTTGCCTTGTTCAGTAAAGTTTTATCTATTTAGTATTGATTTGGTAGGATATGATAATGGTAAACACAATGCTCATAACAAGGTGTATTCCTAAGATTTTTAATATTACACTGTTTCTAATCATGCAGACACAGTATCATAGCAAGTAGATTTAAAAGTCAATGTGTACTAACCAAAATCTGATTGTCCTAAATGTTATGTTGAATGTTCTAATCTAAAATAAATGATTTAGCGTACTCTGCACATCGGAGTATATTGGGGGACTTTATTGATGAATTAGCTAACTTGTTTTTTTGAGTTATGTCAAGAAGTCCAGACTTCCTATCCGAAATTCTAAGGATAATCGATATTGACATCTTGAAACTTTTTATAAAATGGTTCGAAATTAGTCTCAATGTCGTAGAATTATTTACTCTTCATCTACATTTCCAACATGATACTGTTTACTAATTTTCTTTCCCCATCCCTTTGCCATATCATATCTACTCAGAATTAATTTGGCCGTTTTAAGTCGTGAATATTAATAGTTGCCAAATGGTATGAAGATTTGGAAAATGATAATCTTTAAATAACTACTCCATTCAGGAGATATTCTCTATAAAGTTACTGTGGCGTCACAATATTCGTCACAGTATTGTGAATTTGACAAGCTTGGAACTTTATTAGATAGTGTACAGAGAATTCAGCGGATTGTGTAGTATGATTAATTTAAATTTTAGTAATTTGACATCAAGTGGTTCTGTCAGTTAGTTTTAGTTCGTATCTATACAACTACGTCAGAGAATTGAATTCTGTCTAAATCATAGGTCTACAAACAGCTGGTCAGTTGAAGTAGTCAGTACGATCCTTCAAAATACTAATTTTTGATACAATTTGGTGGTTTAATGATGAAATTAGTTATGAGTAACATATTTATACGCATATCTTGATACTCGCTTCTGACTATGGAATATATAGTCGGGTCAAACTTAAATATAGTGAATCAGTTCGTTCTAGAAGATCGGATAAGACATGTATTCACTACTCAGTATTTACTGTTTGGTATTCGACAGTTTGTATACGATCATCTATTTGCAAGTAGTTGTAGAACCTTATCTTGTTTACCATGGTAATCCGGTTCAAAAGTTATGAGTTGTTTTGTAATTTGGGTGAAAGGTGTATTAAGAAGACAATATCATTTGATTTGAAAAGAAGTGTGCTCTATTTGTGTTAATGCATTTTATACAACCGAATTGAATATTCACTTATCGAGACTATTTTAAGTTTTAGCACAGTTACATTGTAACTAGTAGTAGGATCCAGGACTTGGGTTTCTTGGTATTTGCGATTCGTCGGCTGGGATGTTCTTACATCACAAATGTTGATGCTCACACTGATACTTGAACCAAGTACCTTTCACTTCGGTGGGCTCATAAGTTCTGACAGCTATTGACGTGTTTAACAATTGTGAGAAGGCTGATAAGCATTTCATTTCTAATTCCTGCTTTATACTGTTTATATCTGTCCACATAAGCAGCTGACGTCCCAATATGAAAGGTTAAATAGATAAAGAATGGGACTGTACGTTTCTATAATTAATCATATAACTGAGAAAGCTCATACGATTAACTCTGAAATACTTTTTTAGATTATTATATAAAAACTATAAAGTTATCATTTTTAAGTCTGTAGGAACTCTAACTATCAGAAAATTTAATCCTCCTTTATGAATCCAAAAACGACAATCCTTAATCCATTTTTAATCCCAGTGCTAATATAAAACGTTATTACTTCATGTATTTCACTTGTTTCTCTAGCTCTCTCCTATTTTTCCAACTATCAATTTTTATCAGTATAAGGTTGTAGAGATCATAGAGTTCCAATTGAGATCATGAACCGATCAATGTTAGACCACCATTGAGAACCAGTAATTGCAGGTTTTCAACGGTAGGTTAACATCGATCAATTAATGATTTCAATCAAAATATCAATTTTTAGTTTTCGTATAGAATACCTTGACCAGTAAATATATGATCATCAGTATCGAGTTGTTGAATTTCAAAGAAATTACGAATTAATCCAAGTTAGATAATCACTGATTGCTGGAAGTGTATTACGTGAATATGTATTACATTTTTTTAAAATGAACTTCATCTCATCATGCATGGAAATTTCTTTTAAAAAGGAGCGAAGCTTTGTTATAGTGTTCCTCTTCAGTTATGTGTTTCAATGAATATACTGTTTAGTCGATAACTGTTCAATAAGTCAAGATTAAATGACATTAAGTAATCAATTACTGTCTAACACTAACTGAAATACATTGATAAATATATTTATCTTTCTTTTGTGTTGTTTCTGTATAGGGTGATTATACGAGAACTGGTTCACGAACAGTAAATGGTCTAATGCGTGATGGTGTTTATTCAGTTAGTCGGTAAATATAACTTTTTAATTTCCTCCCCTTTTAACATGATGTCAACTGAGTATTTGAAAAACTGATTAGATTTATGGAGATTAATATAATTTTATGTTAGATTTTCTCATGGAGCGATATTATCTGGTGGACATTTGGAAACCAAGAAACTTTAGACATCTTTGTTGTTTTAATTTGACGATAAGTGTGTAGTGAAAGAGAACACCACTGGGGGACAACCAAGTGCATTTGAATACAAAATTACAGAATCTCTTAGTAAAATCTGAGAACTATACAGTAGATACTTCATTCGCAAAATATCAATCAATCGTTTCAGACTTTGCTGTTCCTTCGTTTTCATGCAATCACTCTGTGTTCTCGTTCTGTTCTCTTAGACTTTCTCAACGTTTTGCTGCCAGGCATTTCACTTTCAATTAGTGATACATACTACTTATATCTGACGACATCAATAGCACACATCACAAGCGCACAACTTAGCCAACCGGTCATAAGCACCGCAGAACCTGGCTCGTATGTAAATCTGTTCGGTTCGTCACACAACTTTAAAACATAAGGACGAAATTATTAAATCCCAGATTAGTAGAAATACTAACAGTATCAACAATAATAGAAAACACTTGTCATAGACAATATTATTTGAGAAGAAAGAATGATTCTACGGAATAAGAAGCATGCGATTATTTGAAAACTCTGGATCAAACGGAAGGCAAAGATTGAATGTAACTGCGCTTTTGAACTTGATTCTCAACCATATCATTTAACATATCCAATCATTGGGTTACGGCTACCAATTTGGTTTAGTTTGATATTCAGCGACCAATAGACTGATACCATGTTTTGGCTTAGTTATGGCACAACTAAAGTGAATGGAACCCAGGATGAGAGCTCCAGAGATTCTAGTGTAAAGTCGTGACTCATGAAGTTTAACTGAATTCAGAGTTTACCCAGTCACCTACAAACGACACTGAATATAGCTATGTTGTATGAAGCGAATTATTTGAATTTTGAAATGTTAGTCAATCAGTTCATACTTCATTAACTTAAAGTTATCATTATATTCATCATCACATCTAAACGTTCCAGGATCGATTCAAGATCAGGGAGGAGATCCACGAGTATGCTTCGCTGAGATAGTTCAAACTTGGACAAAAGCAACAACTATTCACTACTCTCTCTCTAATTTTTCGACATTAATCTAGCTGATGTTAGTTCACGATAAAAAAAACAATCTTTCGTTCGTTTTTTTCTTTTTTTTTTCAAAACAATTAAATGATTCTTTTGAAGACTCCCGGTACAGTTAAGATCATTTTTATCATATATATGTATCAAGTAAGTAGGTCTACCGACAACCAATTAGTAATAATCAAACATCCCATCCTTATTTTATGTGTATTTCATCGTCAGTGCCCAACCAATCAATTCATAATTTTCACGGAGAAATATTTTACGCACATTTTAATGGTGGTTAACATTTTCACTCTCAATCAATCAGAGATTTATATTTATGGCATTATCTTAATATTATTACAGTATTATGATTAATTAGATAGTTCAAATTATAACAATAGATGCCCGAAGTACAATAACAAGTTAAGCGATCTATAGTAGTTTTCACCAATCTGATTAACTTATTTACAAGTCTTATTAGGAATACTCAACCATTTATAGAAATTCGAAATCGTCTAAATGATGTATTTGAAACAGACTTTTTTAATTTGAAGACTGATAATTTTTTTCAAATACGAACAAAAACTGTTGATCTTCATCTTCTCAGCTAAAGTTTCTTTAATTAAGTTATTTCTTATAAACAGTGTTTGCTTGACTTCATGATAAATCTAGAAAAAAAGCTGACTAGTAGTTAAAACAAAGCTGAAAACTAATGACATAATTGTCTCTCATACATTCAAAATTTATGCTTCTCTTTTAAATATAATCTACATTGTACACTCCCGATCGTTGCTGTCACCTTGACGCGGTGGCTGGGCTTGCTTATCGTGATGAACCAATCCAGCTATACTGCTTGGAACAATCATTCCTCAGGGTCCTACCGTGCCAGTTAGGTCGGCTGAAGAGCGATGGGATTAAAAGCAGCAAACACAAGGTCCGAGGACAAAGTCGTATTTCTGACCCTATAGAGGCGTAATAAAAGTAAGGTGTTTCCCTCAGACAACCATCATGACAGCAATGTTCCCTTCTCACAAAGGAAGGGTGGGGTTAGAAAAGGTCGACACTAAAAATGCACACCTCACCTTGTCCCACGGATTTCCATCTCCGTCGGTAAGGTCTCAACACTTATGGAGCTAACACGGAAACTACTCACAAAAAATTCGAGTGTAACTGGCCTCAAGCAATTGTCCCTTGCTCACTGCTGTCACCCTCTAACGTCATTAAGATCACCTCTATCCCGATTCCCTTTCCATGTACCTCTAGAAGAACCCTTCCACAGTGTGGTCAACTGGGAAGTGACAACCGCCCTCATACCTCTAACACTGTGCACTATGTAATAGTTTAGTAGTTATACTTACTTATCCAAAATTCTTACTTCAAATAAGCTAATTCTGGAAAAACGATCACTTTGAATAGAGTAGTGTTAAGACGAAGACAGTAAAAAAAATATGAAACTTTGGTAACAATGTTCCACTGAATTCTTTTTCACATTCTTTTTTTTCGAATGATTATTTATTAAGATATTGGTATTCTCACAGAGTCCTGATTGTTAACTAATTCTTTTGTTACCTTAACTATTGCTTTGTCTTTTACTTTCCGTACACTAAAATTAATTATAAACCTGTTACTCTACGTTATACACCCATTGAGATTTGAAAATTATGATGCTTTGTAGTTTGTTTGTTTGTTTTTATTTCTATAATCATTTCAGTTATGAGTCTAAAGAAAGATACTGGTACATGTGACCGTTCATCTAGCTTTGTAGTGCTGTGATTAGAGATTTTGAAATGTGGAGATTTTCGTGGTCTATCAATCGCGTGTTGTGTACGATGACTTATTTTGGTAGATTGAATTTAAGTAGTAGCTTCGGCAAGACCACAAGACATATCAATAAAAATAGGAACTTATATTGTACTAGCAACTATAATTCAAAGGGTGTTCATTAGAATTTTCATGTAAAAAAGATAGTTCAGTATATCTAGGATTTTGTATTTTAGACAATCTGCGTCACTAATGTCAAGCAAAAATTTACATTGTTATAATAAGTCAATGATATTGTTGTGACTTTAAGTTGGGTCGATTTATACCCCGTGCCAATTGTTGTAACGGGTTGTGACTGCAGGTTCTGATAAGCAGCGTTTATATTGATCGGTTCTGTGACACGTAAAACACGTACGAACGACCTAGTGTCCTCATTGGTCCCGCCTCCCTGTCTAGCCCAGCCAGTTGAGTCCAGAACACAAGTTACAACCTCTGAGATATGAATCATTATATTTCAGACATACTCTATTTATATACCAAACAAACAAACCACATCGTACCATAAAATAGAAAACAACATTTACACAATATTTAACAAGTGAAACAAATATCGACCAATAGGGAATGTTCATTTAATGTCCAAGGACACCATTAGACTTAACATGATAATTATTGGTATATTCCTCTGCATACCTAATAGATATATTTCATCATTTACAAAACCTAAAGCTTTTGTGTTCGATTCTAGAGAGTTAAGTTCACATTGATTAATCATTGTGTAGTGGTCGATTTCGTGTTTGTCTAGTCTTTAAATGTATCAGTTCATTTGGTTTTTGTTTGACATCTGAAGCCATGATGCTAGGCAGCGCAAGTTTTACTTCTACAGAAAGTATCAGACTCCTTAAAATGATAAGGGCTAACTGGCGTTAAACTTTGGTCCAGAGTTTTCTTCTAACTGTTTTAGTTAGAGCATTCAAGCAATAGGTCGTGAGTTCGAATTCCCCTACATCTACTTCACTTTCGCCAGACAGATAATATAACACTAGTTTTTCTATCGAAATTCCGTTTCATAAACCAACCACATAAACTTGTATTTGGCAAATGATTTAGACAACTTGTTAAACAACTGTCTATCATTCTTGTTCCTTCAATTGTTTTAACGAAGGTTATTTATGATGTAAATTTAATGGTTTGTTGCAAAAACAACACTAAGAAACTAGTCAGATTATATATGTTCCTTTAATTCCTGTAAATAAATAGTTTATAAAATCTGTTTACCAGTGACATAATCACTTAATGCCTATATCTTCCTCTTTACATCCCATAGAAATGAATGAGTTTTTGTCTCGTATTGATTGTTGGTCTGTTGGTAATGGTCTCATACTTAATCCGTCTAAATGTCAAGCTGTTAACTTTAGCATGAGACATAAACGGAATATAAACACTATTTTGAGATCCCATAGTGCTTGTACCATCGGAGACTCTTTGATAAACTCAGTGTCGAAGGTCAATTATCTTGGTGTCACCTTTTCCTCTGATCTGTCTTGGTCTTCCCACGTTTTATCGTTATCGAAGAAGGTTTTCCGTCTGACCTATTACATAAAGAGATTGCATGCTCTTGGAATTACTCGTCATTTACTCTTACAATTTGTCAATTCTTGCATACTACCTATTAGTCTTTACTGTTCTCCATTATTCTTTCCCGGGCTTTTGAGAAAAGACTTTGCTGTATTGCGAAGAGTGCTGAAGGCAGTTAGCAAGGTGTGTGGTGAATCTTTCCAGGTCATAATTAATATGGTTGTGGATAGATATTTAAAATCATGCAAACTCCTGGCAGGTGTCATTTTATCAGATACTAGCCATCCCCTTCACTCTTATCTTTCTCCTTGTATATCTTCTGGTAGGACGAGACGTAATTACATTAAAATCCATGCACGCAAGGAAAAGTATAAAAGTTCTATAATACCTTATCTAGCAAATATACTCTGTGACGAACAGGTTGTTAGAGTTAATCTATCCAATAACCTGCATTCTTAACATGACTTTAATTTTAAATGTTGTACTGTTTTTCA